TTTATAAATTTCTTTAGAACCCAAGTGTTTTTATTTTAGGGGAATCGGGGGTTTTTAAAATAATAAAATAAAAAGGTCATTTTTCCCCTTTTTTTAATTTCCCTACTAAATATCTACTTTTAATATTATTTTTTAAAAATTTTTTTTTAAAATTTTTTTTTGTTTTTTTTTTTTTTTTTTTTTTTTAAAAAATCTTTTTTTTCCCCAAAACCAAATTTTAACCTATAATTAAAAAATAAAAAAAAATACTTAAATAAAAAAAATTTTATAAAAAAAAAATTTAAAAATTTCAACAAGCCCTTTCAAATTAATTTAATTTTACCGTTTCCCTTAAATTTTTTTTTAAAATTTTGTTTCTAAATTTTTAAAAATGTATTATTAAAACTTATACAAGTTTTTTAATTCAATTTAAAGTGAAAATTAAACCTTTGATGAAGGTTTTAAAAAATTTTTCCCCCATTGTTTGTTTGGGGAAAAAAACCTTTTTTTCTTGTTTGCAAAAAAAAAAAAGGAAGGGAAGGGATGGCCATTTTGCCCTTTCCCAAATTTTACCTTTTTGGGTTAGGAGTTTTTAAAAAAATAAAGGGGAAAAAAAAGGGCTTAAAAAAATAGGAAAAAATTTTTCCCCCCCCTTGCATTAAAAAAAAAACCCCCTTTTAATTTTTTTGTGAGGAGATGGGGTAAATCTTCTAAATATGGGGGGGGATATTTAAATATCATTAGAAATTTTTTAAGGTTTTTATTTTTTTTTCCAGGAATTTTTACCTTTTAATTGTTTGGGTTTTTAAATAAAATTATCCCATAAGTTTTAATTTTTCCCTTTGGGGGGGATTTCGACACTGGGATTTTTAAAAAGGGGGAAAAGGGGGGGGGGGGGGGGGGGGGGGTTGGGGTGGGGCCAGTTCTTCCTTGATTGTTACTTCTCTGCTGAGGGGGCCCGGAAACCCCCAAACGAAAACTTTTGGTTCCAATTTTTTCTGTGCTTTTTCAAAACCCTTTTCGGTTCTCAAACACCAATTAATAAACCCCAATTGTTTCCTTTAGTCTTTTTTTTTCCCTTTGGGAAAAATTTTTTGAGGATTCAATTTTCTTCTTTTGGTTCCGTTTTTGGTTATGAACCCAAAACCCCAATTTTATTAAAACAAAAAAATGCCCCTTTGGCCTGGGAAAATATTAAAATTTTAAAAAGCCCCCGAAAAAGCCCCTGAAAAGTTAAAAGCCCCGAATACCAAAATTTGGTTTTAAAACAGGGGAGAAATTCATTCTGTTTTAAAAAATTTGGGAAAAAAATAACTTAGGAAATTTTATTTTAAAAATTTTTTTTTGAAAAATAAAATGTGTTTTTTTATTTTAATCTCGATTTAAAACCCACTCTATTTGAATCAGGATGCTGTTTTTAATCTACATACTTCCTCTTCTATCCCACACGACTGCAAAAGTGGACACGGGAACCTTGTCCAATTTGCAGAACTGGCAGTTCATCTCTCGGTTCTGTTACAAAGGTGGTGTTGGTGCCAGTTCAACATCAGACAAACGAAAGTTTCGCTTCAAAGTATGTATAGTTCTTATCTTAATCTCGTGTTAGTATCACGTTTAACATTTATATCAATAACTGGAAATCTTGTTTACCCGAGTTCGACAGTGATTACTAACGACCCCCAGGTTGATTATGAAGCACAGAGCTGTGTCACAGATCTAACACTCGCCTTGTATTACGACAGCCCGGAGCAGTGGGCCAGTGTGTACAAGTCCAACCTGAGTTGTGAACAGAGAGTGGGAAAAGCCAGAGGGAGAATACAACTCGTACCCATGTTGGGAGCCTGTTCTTACCAGAAAACGGAGAAGATTTGCAAGTGAGTACCACAAAACCTCCTCCTCTAACTGTGTTCATTGTGGAAAGAAAGATTTGCAAGTGAGTACCACAAAACCTCCTCCTCTAACTGTGTTCATTGTGGAAATAAAGCGGAATTAATCATAAAAAGGAGGAGTTTTTGACGACAACTTTTTCAGGTGTGATGGAAGCAGGTTTCTCGAGGGAATGAGGGCTAGATGGTGGTACGTTGCCATCTCTAGCTGTCGGCCAGAGTCCCGGATTGACATCCGAGCAGTAAACTACACCCTGACTTTTACAAACGGTGATCACTTTACCGATAAACACTTCTCTGCCGACGAGATTGGCATTACAGAAACCAACTTCGTGGTGACGGTTCTAATGATCTTCATCTTTGTGATTACCTCCCTGTACGCTAATCTTCTCGTTAAAAGACGACTATATCACGGAACTTTCAAGCTCTTCCAATGCTCGGTCTTCCTTTACTTATGTCGGTGTGTCTTAACAGTATTTTACCATAGCATTTACGGAGTGAGAGGTCACGCCCCCACCACTATCTATCGGTTTGGTCAAGTATTTGAAGTTCTATCCACCTGTATATTCCTGGGTCTGCTGCTCTCATTCGCTAGTGGTTATACTATCGTCATGTCTGCTCTGACAGTTTGCGGTTTCGGGGCACTTGTATCCTTTACTGGAATGTTCTCTCTGTTCATGTTCGCCTCGTTGATATGGGAGTGGAATGTGTTCGACCCAGCTGCTGTGCTCTACACCTACCAGTCTCCTCCGGGCATATTCCTCACCGCTATCTACTTTCCTGCCTGGGTCTACTTTATTTGTAACTGTGTTTACACGGGCGCCACGTTTCGGAGGAAGATACCGTTCTATATTGCGTTAGGTTATTTTTACAGTGTGTGGCTGTTAGCAATCCCGCTCCTTATTCTGATAGCTAACAAGTATTTGGAGGATTGGGAGAGGATGAAGACGGTGACAATAGCTCAGCAGATGGTCTGGATTCTCAGCTACAGCTACCTTCTCTTCATCTTCAGACCTGCTCACAGCAACAAACACTTTCCTTTTCATTTAAGAGCCACTAAAGTTGGGAGTGATTTGAATGAGGAAACTGCCCAGGATAATAACTATGAAGCGGAACCTGGGGCTCAGGATAAGGATGCGAATAATAATGAACATGTTGAATTACAACAAGATCCACCTGTATCAGCATACGCAGATATTTTCACTGTAGTATATGACACTGCAACGTGACTCTATTCATTCAAGCCTTAAAGAAATTGTGATACGATCATTTAAATTTGATATTAAAAACAATGCTTGCTTCAATTCCGTATTCAGTTGCTCATAGTCATATTATTTTCATTTTATCTGACGAAGAGCCGCAGTTTTTAACAATATTTTTACTCTTAACGAATAATGACTATGGTCAATCCTCGATCGTTGATTCATGATTTCAATCCTTCGTTGAAGCGCGATGCACTACTAGTACTGGGCTGATATACCGAAGCGCGGCCCAGTAGTGCATCGCGCCACAAGCGAGCGTGCTAAATCACTTTACAGTCGATCTTCGAAATTGTTCTAAAAGGGCCCCCTTTTATATATGGTTAAAATTATATTTTTTATATGGTTAAAATGCTCTCCTGACGAGATATTGGCGAAATACTGTATCGATCACGTGATATGACCGTATAAGGCCAAGGAAGTTAGCCTAAGTTATCGTTAGGGTTAGGGTTTCAGCATATGTTTTTGTTAAACTTAAGGATTGGGTTAGGGTTAGGGTTGGGATCAGATTAGAGGGTTAGGGTCCCCCCCCCCTCCCCCCAAAAGTTCGGCCACCGGTCCTATTGTCCTAGTCTAGTTTGTTGGTCAACTGCTATATCGAAACCAAGTTTCACAAAAAAAATCAGTTTGAACCCCACCCCCCCGCCCCTTAATGCTAGAATTTGATCTACATTGCCATTTGTCACCACTTATTTTTAGATTCAAAAGAGGTTCGATCTGCTCGTTTACTTTAGATACCTAGATAAAGCAAAGATGAGTCTGACACAGGGACAAAAGGAAATCGCGGCATGTACGGAATCTTGATTTTTCCCATTATTTGCGACAAATTTTATCGCCAAAATTTTATTTGGCCAAAATCGCCGCGAAATCCTTTTGTCCCGGGTCTGACAACTCGCTCGAAAGCATTTCGGAATTGAAGCAACAAGTTTTGTCGGACAATTGTATGCAAATTTTGCACTATATAAATATTTCTCGTACGTAATATCGTTTATTTTCAGGGTTAAAAATTAAAACGACATATTTTAGTTTCATCAGTATATGCACTATGCAGTCATTTTACATGCTAAAAAATCTCACTATCAATTTTAATAAAGTAATAAGACCTCAAAATTTCAATAAAGTATTCGGTGTTCTTCATGTGTTTGATAACATGGTAACAGCTACAAGTTGGTCGATTAATTACAACCTACTATAAATCTAGCATATCCTTGTACATGCAAAGGAACGCTTCACCAGTCGTCATCAGTGCTGCATGTGGCGGTATCGGCAACAGAACCACTGGCACTGATCCAACACCACGTCATGCAGTCTGAGCAGAATCCTGCGTCCGGGTGAGGACACGAGGCTCCTGAGGGGGAATACTGTTAGATATTATACTTAATGTTATGAAGTTATGAGATTCGGTAACTTATAACACCGCAAACAGCGAACCCAGAAAACCTTACCGCCTGCTGGGCTCGCTAGAGGTGATAGATTTTCAACAGCACGTTTGACGTCGCGCGTCACGTCAAGTTTACCTTTCGCACGCTGCATTGAGCCTAGTAGTCATGACAACGACATTTTATTTAGCCCAAAATCAAACTTTTTGGTTTAATTCAGAATCTAAGTTGTCCCAAATTTGGCTCCTGGGGAGCCAACTTTAAATTTACGAGACGGACATTTTGTTGAAAACCGGAAGGTTCTCTTTATTTTACTTTTGGAGATATACCCCAGCCGGTAGGGTTTCCTGGGAACTTATACAATTACAGTAGTGAGATGCATTACAGGTGAACTAGAAATATAATTTGTAAAGGGTACAAGAGATTGAAATTAAAATATCTCAAATTAAATATCATCAAACTAACCGTTGCATCCTCTCCAGCATTTTCCACCGCTACAAGACCATGAACAGGCAGTTTTCTTGTCGCACTGGTAACCTCCACCCCACCCACAGATTGCTTTGTATCACTATCACGTTTCGACCTCCACGGTCGTTTCACTATGGTGGGTGTCAAGTAATTTGCGAGCCGCACGAGAAATCCCTTTATCGTCCTGACGATACAGGGGGAGCCGCGCACTCGTGCGCGGCGGGTCATACAACGTATGACAAAGATTGCTGGGATACAAGTTAATTGACTATATAGTGGCCATTCAAATTAGTGCTTGTATATTTGGTGCACATAGTGCGTATATTCAGTGCGAATATTTTGTGCATATTTAATTTTCAACAACAAATTTAAGAAATGCCACTTATAAGTTATAAAGTTTAGTTTATGGTTTAGTACCAGTACGTTCAGCTTTGTTCATGCATTCCTTCGATTCAACTGCTTCACCACCACAATCTTTTCCACCGCTGGCTGGAGGTGGGTTATCACTATATCGGAGTTGATATAGTGATGAAAATGGGGCAAAATGCGCTGCTTTAGCGATTTGGTGCCTCAAGTGCCTCAGTGCCTCAATGCATATGCATAACAAAGTTGTCTCTTAGAAAGATAACATTATGATTAATGGCTTGATTTTGTGACTAACTAGACCACTCAGTTAGATAAACAGTTTTTACAAATAACTGTGGCTGTTCATTGTAGTCATAAAACCAATATCTAGTTAATAACTGCTGTTTTGCTCAACCTGAGTCACTCGATAAACTTATTTAACTATTGAGATCGAAGGTTAGCCTTCTGCTAAGGGACTTTTTTTGAATTGTACTCATCAAAATTATTTCAGCTTATGACATAGTCATAGACCGCTGATTGGCTGTCGATTATAACTTTATAATTTCTTGATTGTTTTAATGTTTATAACGGTTCAAAATGTAAAGCATCTTTTTATTTATATTGGGATATTTTAATACTTTCAACACTACTATATAACAAATAATTTGAGGGGTTTATGTCTGGAAAGTAAGTGTCTTTCTTGTTCTAGTGTATCCCTTCTTAATAATATTACTTATTATTAAGAAGGGATGATAATTTATAACTTTAAACTCTTATTCACTCGACAATCATGTGACTTACTTTAACACGTTCTCTAGGTGTTTCTTGGTGACTAATCAAAACCTTATCAGCTTATCCCTCTAATCTGACTCCAACCCTAACCCTAGCCGTTAAACAAAATACTTCATCTCACTGTATGTCTGCTTTAAACGAAATTATTGTTATAGGAATATATATCTGAGGACAAGACATTGCTGAGATGATAACTTCCAACAAGGGTCATAATCCTGGACCAGGCAAATGTCCCGCTCACATTGGGACGTCCGCTCGGTTTCTCGATGTAATCAGTAATCCGACTTATATGGTCCTAAATAACACTAATTACTCGGGTACACTTTTTCACCAGTGGGGAATTTCTCGGAATCACGCCCTTTTTGACCGCACCCATATCGCGACCCCAACTATAAATTATCTCGGCTTCTGATTGTGATACAGACCAAGATGCATGTTTATTTTAGTGCTATGAAGATACTTAAGGCCTAAGAGACTTAGTTTTTTTTAAATCGCCAAAAATCCGATTTTACTATATTAGCAGTCTCGCAAGTAACAATTATCACACTTATTTCAAGATATCTCAGCTTCTGATTGGAGCTAAGCGCTCATCTTGGGCATTAAAATGGTCAGAATCATCATATTGAGTAGGGTAGAGCATGGTTTTAAAGTCTTGAGACTTCAGGTTGTTGAGTTATTAGGTCAGATCCCATTTTTATGCTCTCGCGAATAGCGATTGAGTAGCGATTGCCAAGAAATATCAATAAATGTTTACTAAAACCTCTAGCCCTAGGAACATGCATTACCCCACTTAATTTGATCATTCTGACCATTTTAATGCCCATGATAAGCGCTTAGCTTCAATCAGAAGCTAAGATATCTTGTAATAAGTGTGTCAATCGCTACTCGCGAGAGTGTAAAAATATGTTTTAACCGAATAATTCAACAACCTGAAGTCTGAAGACTTTGAAACCACGCTCTACCCCACTTAATGTGATGATTCTGACCATTTTAATGCCCAAGATGAACGCTTAGCTCCAATCAGAAGTTGAGATATCTTGAAATAAGTTCATCAATCGCTACTCGCGAGAGCGTAAAAATGGGATCTGACCTAATAACTCACCAACCTGAAGTCGCAAGACTTTAAAACTATGCTCTACCCCACTCAATGTGATGATTTTGACCATTTCAATGCCCAAGATGAACGCTTAGTGTAAGTATCCCAGGCCCGGAGCTATGCCAAGTTAAAGTCCATATTAAATCATGGAACTTTCCAGTATGAGCCACAATAATCCAGACAGAACTTACAGTTATTTTTCAGCCCTGCTTCTAGTCGGCTTCCTCTTTGGTAATGGATGTTTCGGCAACCCCGCACGGTGAATTGTAATGTTGCACATTGCACCAGTCCAGCGGAGCGCCACGAAGCTCATTAAAACATCCCCAGTGCAAACCCCAATTACCAGCAGTATTAAGAAAGCCGACTTGAGCCTGATGCTAATTTACCTTAGCCAATCAGATCACGCTAACAGCCCTCCTAGAACTGGTCCCAGAAACACGTTGACAGAAATTTCGATTTGAAAAGTTTTGACAAACAAATTTCCTGGGAACAGGGCAAGCCACTGTTGCCACTTCCAGGCACAAATCTGCTAAAAGATTTCAACACAAATTATAAGGCCTGTGAAGTCTAGAATCCAAAATTCCTGTGCTCCCCGGAGTTAGAGAGTTTTGACTCAGTAGCCGACGGACAGTTTTAGTTCGGAGGATTTTATTCACCTTCTCATCACGATTTGAACGTTTCCCCGTCACAGTTATGGTAACTCAGCGTCCTAAGCTGGAACCATAACTTATAACTTTTAAAAATCATCCCCTTATCCATTTTATGGTTTATCTACCTAGATCTTCCAATTGCTAGGTAATAAACCCCAAAAGTCTAAGCCTCATCATCCTCATCCTTTACTCACCAGTATGTTGTAAATTATTACTTGTTTAGTGATTTTATCCACCTCACAATTCCTTTGGACGTTTCCCCGTCACAGTTATGGTAACTCAGCGTCCTAAGCTGGAACCATAACTTATACCTTTTAAAAATCATCCCCTTATCCATTTTATGGTTTATCTACCTAGATCTTCCAATTGCTAGGTAATAAACCCCAAAAGTCTAAGCCTCATCATCCTCATCCTTTACTCACCAGTATGTTGTAAATTATTACTTGTTTAGTGATTTTATCCACCTCACAATTCCTTCCGGACGTTGCCCCGTCACAGTTATGGTAACTCAGCGTCCTAAGCTGGAACCATAACTTATAACTTTTAAAAGTCATCCCCTTATCCATTTTATGGTTTATCTACCTAGATCTTCCAATTGCTAGGTAATAAACCCCAAAAGTCTAAGCCTCACCATCTCCATCCTTAATCACAAGCATGTTATAATGCATCGTCACTACCGTTTTAGTTTTACCTTCTATCGGGTGATCAACTTTATTATTATTTATTTTGTTTGTCGATGTTTATATAACTATTTGAATCCTTGCCATTTGACGTTAGTGTCACCTTTATCCAAGCTTTTTACTAGTACCCAAAAAGTCAACTTGAAATTAAGGCCAAATCAATACTCGCTATGAGCAACTAGTAAATATACAGCACTTCCTAAGCCATACGGACGGCTTTACTATGTTTGCATTAAGACTATAGCCCTGGCAGGACATTGAACTCCGTGACCCAGCTAACTGCACGAGCTTAAGATAGGCCATATAAATCATGTGCTAACCAGGAACCCTATTGGTTTATTGGCGGTCCTCTTGGCATGAGGACCTGGAGCCATAATATAAATTCTATCCGCTGCAAGCTCGTGCCTTGTATCGGTCTGCCCTTTATTCGTCTTGGTGCTGATTAATCAGGATCCAATCTGGACCTCTCCCTCCTCTTGGACTCACCTTCACCTCAGGTTATGTACCCTTTCTTTGTTTCATAAATGTCTAAATGAGTCCTAAGATAATGCTTTCAAGCAAACTAGACATCCCAATCAATGATTATCACGTTACCTAGTATTCCTCTAACATATAGCCCAAGGCTTAAAAGGCGGCCCTTACACTTAGCTCCAATCAGAAGCTGAGATATCTTGATATGAGTGCATCAATCGCTACTCGCGAGAGCGTAAAAATGGGATCTGACCTAATAACTCAACAACCTGAAGTCGCAAGACTTTAAAACTATGCTCTACCCCACTCATTCTCAATGTGATGATTCTGACCATTTCAATGCCCAAGATGAACGCTTAGCTCCGATCAGAAGCTGAGATATTTTGAAATGAGTGCATCAATCGCTACTCGCGAGAGCATAAAAATGGGATCTGACCTAATAACTCAACAATCTGAAGTCTCAAGATTTTAAAACCATGCTCTACCCTACTCAATATGATGATTCTGACCATTTTAATGCCCAAGATGAGCGCTTAGCTCCAATCAGAAGCTGAGATATCTTGAAATAAGTGTGATAATTGTTACTTGCGAGACTGCTAATATAGTAAAATCGGATTTTTGGCGATTTAAAAAAAAACTAAGTCTCTTAGGGCGTTAGGCCTTAAGTATCTTCATAGCACTAAAATAAACATGCATCTTGGTCTGTATCACAATCAGAAGCCGAGATAATTTATAGTTGGGGTCGCGATATGGGTGCGGTCAAAAAGGGCGTGATTCCGAGAAATTCCCCACTGGTGAAAAAGTGTACCCAAGTAATTAGTGTTATTTAGGACCATATAAGTCGGATTACATCGAGAAACCGAGCGGACGTCCCAATGTGAGCGTCGAGCGGGACTTTTGCCTGGTCCAGGATTATCATGACTATAAAGGAATTGTAAGAATGTCGCCAATAGTTTATTCTCAGAATTTAAGGGCCCGACCATACTATGACTTACGAGAAAATCAGCAAGGTGGTTTATTTATAAATTAAAGTTATTGTTACTTTGTTAAACCAATGCTTGTTGTTATTAGTCACCTGGTTGTGCTCTGTAGTAATCAGATGCTGAGTCGGCCTTCCTGAACTTTATCTTTGTTACGAGCCTGTTCCAGTACTTGCTCCACTTAGTTTCAGTACACGATTGATCAGAGAGCAGTATGTTGAGAACCTCCACCTCGTTACAGTGTACCACTACTCTAACACCTGCAGTTCTGGTTAGAGTGATACGCCATACCTTGTCAGCAGTAGAGGGGGGATTAACAGCGAACTTTTTGAAGGATGTGCAGAATTGGAGCGAGTATAGTGGAGAGGCTAAGTCGAGCCAGAGTCCTCCTGCAAACATTCCCCAAGCAGAGTAGAAGGTCACATACAGTACGTTATCGTTACTCCCCAGCTCACTATTAGATTTAATTTCTAAAGGTGTCGACTCAAGATCCCACTCTATTACCACGTCACGTTCGACTGGTAACTCGACACCTGTTAATTGTATGTTTAACTCATGACTATAAAGGAATTGTAAGAATGTCGCCCATAGTTTATTCTCAGAATTTAAGGGCCCGACCATACTATGAGTATGACTGTTGTCACCATGACTGTTGTCATGGTGCGGTCAGATGTAATGAACATAGGTGCGTAGTGTGTTTATAGGGCGTGCCAAGGATACGTGACAACTCCTCAGGCACGTCGCGCGTGGCTTTTTAAAAGCCGTGCTTAGCCAAAAATCCGTGCCTGACGTGACTGCAGGCACAGTCTATTCAGTACTCGTGCCATCTGTCATGGATAACGTGACGTCACGATTACCTAATAAGGTCTATAAGTATATTTTGCGTGATATGGACATTGGCAGCGCAGAGTTCAAAGATATATCACCTTCAAGTCTGAAGCTGTTTTAATTTACTGTTTATTACTCAATTACTGGTGCTCCATTTTTAAAGTTCTAATTACTGTTTAATCTATCATTGTCATGGGTTATTTGTCATTGTTCCATTTAAAACCCAACAATTGAAGTTCATTGTATTTGTACTTAATCTAATTTAATAAATACTAATGATGATAATTATGTTAATAAATACTAATGATGATAAATATAGGATGAATTTGCTACCGTAGGCTCATAGTCATCATGAATTGAAGGCCTAACAATTCATTAAAAAATGTCAGAGAGGTGATAAACCGTCCTAAGGACATGATGGTGTGATAAGAGTCGAAATGTCTGAAATGTCGAATTCATTTACAATTGTAATAGATTAAGAAGAACTACCCAAAGGCAGCTGTACTCGGCAATAAAGATTCAATAAACTTCAGCTAATTCAATAAGTAATAACTACCACCCTTGCCCCGAAATACTAGGTATCGACCCGAACGCAACCCAAAGAGATTTTTACAGCATCTGATTGATGTAATCAATTACAATTCGTAAGCCGTGAATGAATGGGAAAAGCGAGCGACCGATTTCATTCTCGGTATCATTTTGCATTTGAGAACGGTCAATCAAATTAACATCATTTCCTTTTGTTTGGGAAAGAGAGACACTGGCAGCGGTCCACTCTACCCATGATTATGGGTTTTGGTCAAATATTAGTTATAAAGTTTAGTTTATGGTTTAGTACCAGGGCATTCAGCAATCATGCATTCCTTCGATTCAACTGCTTCACCACCACAATCTTTTCCACCTCTGGCTGGAGGTGGGTTATTGCAGGTTTTGGACCGGGTCTGTGTCCCTTTTCCACAACCTGCTGAGCAAGCACCCCATTTGCTGTAATCACTCCACCCTCCATCAACTGAAAGTGCGGTTTTTATAATTTAGTCAACAAAAAATAATCATTCAACTCCCTACTTCATACTAACTAAATAATTCAGTTTAACTTCAATTATTAAATTTGAATCATTATGTAAAACTTAAAGCCTGTGGGAGAAATTAAAAACTTTATCATACTTCCTACGGTACATTACTGCACATTTGATGTGCTCGTCCATATATAACAACAAGGTTAAGAAATGCTACTTATAGAGTTTAGTAATAGTTTATGGTTAAGTACCAGGGCTTTCAGCAATCATGCAATCCTTCGATTCAACTGCTTCACCACCACAATCTTTTCCACCGCTGGCTGGAGGTGGGTTATTGCAGGTTTTGGACCGGGTCTGTGTCCCTTTTCCACAACCTGCTGAGCAAGCACCCCAGTCGCTGTAATCACTCCACCCTCCATCAACTGAAAGTGCGGTTTTTATAATTTAGTCAACAAACAAATAATCACTCAACTCCCTGATTCTTAAACAATGTGCAGTACAATTAACAAGATGAATCATACTCATAGTGCAAAATTAAAAACCTACATGTGAAATTAAAAGCCTGCGAGAGAAATCAATAATATTTGATGCTCATATTATGGGTATACTAATACACAGTACAAATGTTATGTGTATATTTAGTACTGCACATTTGATGTGCTCGTCCATATTTAACAACAAGGTTAAGAAATGCTACTTATAGAGTTTAGTAATAGTTTATGGTTAAGTACCAGGGCATTCAGCAATCATGCAATCCTTCGATTCAACTGCTTCACCACCACAATCTTTTCCACCGCTGGCTGGAGGTGGGTTATTGCAGGTTTTGGACCGGGTCTGTGTCCCTTTTCCACAACCTGCTGAGCAAGCACCCCAGTCGCTGTAATCACTCCACCCTCCATCAACTGAAAGTGCGGTTTTAATTTAGTCAACAGAAAAATAATCATTCAACTCCCTACTTCATACTAACTAAATAATTCAGTTTAACTTCAATTATTAAATTTGAATCATTGTGTAAAACTTAAAGCCTGTGGGAGAAATTAAAAACTTTATCATACTTCCTACGGTACATTTTTCTTCAAACTTTTTTGTCATAGTCGTTATCTTTTTGTTCATCTTTTTAAATTTTCCCGTATAATTTTCTGCACTTGCTAGACCAAGAGCGAGGATAACCAGAAGAGTCACTAACATTGTCGCTAGCTTTTTAATAAATCAGCGGATTAAACCTCCAATAATAGCAGAATGGTAAACCTTTTATTTTGGAATGGGATTTCGATTTTAAAGCTTAATATTTTGTTGACGCTATCTAGGGCAGATAGTGACATAGACAATGCTTAGTGCTACCACATCTGCATGATAAATGAAAACGTATATGACCGGATAAAAATTAAAAACTATGAAAGAATTGTTCAAAATCGAAATTCAATTTCAAAATAAGCTTCAGAGATTAGAGAACGTAACGGTAAAGAAGATATCATCAGCATTCAGCACGGAGGACGGAGGTCGCAGCTGATTCATTTAGCTGACGGACATCACCAAGCAGAGTAAAGGGCTGGATCTTTAGGCTTCTTTCTGGAGTAGATGTACCCGTCCGTGTCCACCAGCTGTTGAGATCCTCTCTGTCCTTCGATGAATTTGAAAACAATACTCTTCACGTTTCAGTATATATACCAGGAGTGCTGTTGTACATATATTAATTACAACTGATCAACTCTCGTACTTGTCATTGTATGCCTCGCCCGGAAAGAGAGGTTCTAATAATTGGTTTCGGTCATCGGACCGTTTCAAGGCGTACAGTGCGAACCTTGAGCGACCTGATGTTGAAGTGGTCGTTGTAGACTTAGCTCACTACCTCACTAACGCTCCTATTGTGTCAGAAACACCTGGATTACTCTTCCATTTTCGGCGGGGGCGGGGGGGGGGGGGAGGGGGGGGGGGGGGAGGCGCCAACAGGCAACGTTACGCAACTGATTAAGGGAGGTAAAAAAACACTGAAAGTGTTAGCAAAACTACAAATGCGCAAAAATGTTTAATTGCTCGAGAGGATTAAGTTGATAGGAGTAAACAAATTTTAATCGCCAAGTCGAAGTAATTTATAACTAAGAAAACTGTGAGATGAGTTTTCTTTCTAGGCGGGGATTCAGCCGTTTTTGAGTAGGTACGTAATTACAGCTGCATAACAATAGTCCTCGCTCGTTCATTTACCCTGAATGTCACAATCCTTTAGATTCAAATCTCAACTACATTGTTTAATTATCTAGAAGTTTCATTATTGAACCAGTTGTTCAATCTTCCAGCTCTCAAACTTTTGAAGTTAAGACTGTCCCTCATATCATTATATTAATTATAAGCAATGTAAGCTTAATAATATTCAATATTCATGTCATATAATATGGTCTACTGAAATTTTGGTCTCCTTTAAAATTAGTCGCCGAAAAATTTAATCTCATGAAATTTGGTTTACCTTACTCGGGAATATTATGACTGGGAAAAATTGGTGGGTTTTGGAAAATTCCGCCATATTTTCCCGGTCATTAATTTTCCCAGTCAATTTCAGTACAAACTTCTAATGAGGATCACGACGTGTAGATACATGAGACACAAAATGAAAATTGTTACAGATACTCCCATGTGTAGCCTGTGTAACACATACGTAGAAACAATTCCTCATATAATCTATCTCCATTGTATCCACACAAATAGCTTCATCACAATACTTGAAGATTTTATCAAAAGGAAAATCGATAGAAATTACAAAGACCCCAATAAAATTAATTTTATAGTTTGTAATCACACTTCACAAATTATAAATTATTTTAATATTGTTGCCAAATGGTACATTAGCAAAAGATTTCAGGCAGGGGACATGCCGATCTGGCAGGGGTATATTAAACTTCTTAAACTTTCACTTACAGGAGACAAAATAGGTCACAAACGTTCTATTGTGTCGATCATGGCAGATTAGGGCAAATTGTCCACCCCATTTATATTGCTGTCTTTGTTATTTAATTATCAATGGTTAGTGTTACTATCTTACAGTAATACTAGCTGTTTTTTGTAGTACATGCCCTGCTTCCTTCCATTCCTAAACTACCTTACAAGCTCTTCCTCTTTTACACCCTTTACACTCACTTCATTTCACTCATTCACTTCATATCTTATTATCACAGTATCTGCCAAAACCAACATGGCCCATGTGGAAGGGGGCCTTGACGTTGTTTACCACTTGGCCCTGCATCCCAAGCTGACGGTCGGCCTCCACTCTCTAAAAACATACCTTCAGTGAAGGCAGATGGTCAACAAATAGCGATGCTAGAGCTTGGTGGGAACAATTCTTGACCTACTTTCACACCTTGGGGACGACTCTCGCAAATGCGAGAGTAATGACCCCGGGGAGGGCCCCATTGCAAAAAAAAAAAATGCAACCTACTAAAACCATGGTTTTAGTAGGTTGCATTTTTTTTTTTTTTTTTTTAAATTTTCCCAGTCATAAATTAACCCGCTATAATGTTCCCGAGTAAGGTAGAACGATTTTAGTCAAAAGTTTGACTTAATTTATGGTAGACTAAATTTTTCGTTCTTAAGGGAAGTTAATAAATACTAATGATGATAATTATAGGATAAATTTGCTACCGTAGGCTCCTCATGAATTGAAAGGCCTACTAATTCATAAAAAAATGTCTGAAAGGTGATTAACCGTCCTAAGGACATGATGGTCTGATATGAGTTGGAATGTCTGAAACAGTTCTAAATTGGTTCGTCACTACTTGGGTGGATAATTATGGATGGTAATGTGGCACCTTCTTCATCCAAACATCTCGTACAATATACTTACTTTACTTTGAGTACTTTGAGTAGGTTTGGCTGGGGTCGCTTCAGGACAACAGTATCAAGTACGTCCTCCTATCACTCCACAGGGGTCTTTTTGTAAGTACCATCCCAAGAGTGAGTTGTTGTTAGTAGCGGTGTATCCTTTAGTCGGAGGTGTGTCAGGGAATTCTTTAAGGAATTTAGCCAGTGACGATTTTAACAGGTCCAAAGTAGAAATGGAATTAATTTCTTTGGGGAGAAGATTCCACAGCTGTGCCGCTTTCACTCCAAACGAGCTTTCATAGTGAGTTGCCACAGAACGCTGTGATTTGTTGTTCAGTGCTGGTACAGTAGCTTTTATTCCATGTCGGGGGTTGTTTTTGAACAGCATGCCAATATCATTTGGGCCCAGGCCATTGAGAATTTTCCATGTGTGGATCAAGATGTACCTTTCTCGACGTCTCTGCAATGATATGATATTGAGTTTCGTGAGACGTTCCCAGTAGTCTAAACCACTGCATCCGTTAATGCGTCGGGTAAATTATCGTTGAACGTTTTCTATAGCCTCTATGTCCATGGTTTTGGCTGGATTCCAGACAGGGCAGCAATATTCTAGCTTACTCCGCACCATGGTTTTGAAGAGGGTAAGCATGAGAAATTGTGATCTATCTTTGAAGACGCTAAGAACCCAGGATGACATAGTGCTTGCTGATTGGATCATTTTCTGTATGTGGGGAGTCCAAGAGCAGTCGTTTGATAAAATCACCCCCAAGTCCCTGACAGTTTCTGCTGGCTCAATTATTTGACCTGTTGTAAGAGTGTAACTAAGCAGATCATTTGTAAATGGCAGATTTCGTAGCAGAAGAGAATTATTGAGCGTATCGTTGAGGATCTCAAATTTGGCTTCATTGAGCTGCATATTGTTTCTTCGAGCCCAGGCAATGACATTGAAGAGGTCTTCTTGTAGCGATGCTTTGGTGGCCAAGTCCAATATTTTACCGATGAGTTTAGTGTCATCAGCAAATATCTTTCCAAGAGAGGTAAGCAGTGCGTCCAATTGGTCATCGATGTAGAGAATGAACAGAATCGGTCCCAACACTGTACCTTGTGGCACTCCACTTATCACCAGCTGGAAGGATGACTTAGTTCCTTCAACGACCACTGTCTGGAGACGGATTGTTAGGAATTCACTTAACCACTGGAGCATGTTTCCATGAATTCCGTAACGTTTTGCTTTTGCAAGTAATATGTTGTGATCTACCTTATCGAACGCTTTGGCGTAATCGAGGTATATGACATCTACTTCTTCGCCACTGTTCAGGCTTTTCAATATGGTATCTACATGGTCTAAGAGTTGAGTTAGGCAGCTCCTCTTTTTGCGAAATCCATGTTGATGCGGTGAAAGAAAGCTATTTGCTTCCATATGTTCGACAAGGTTGTTTCGTATCACTCTTTCGAAGATCTTGATGATATGCGATGTTATAGAAACAGGGCGGTAGTTGGCAGCCTCTATGCAGTCACCCTTCTTGTAGACAGGGGTAATAAACTGCGTTTTCATGCTAGGAGGGATTACTCCAGTTTCAAAAGAATCTTGCCAGAGTAGAAATATGGGCTCGGACATATGCTTGTGACATTATATTATAATAATTACCATTTTTATGAAGTCGTTAACTAATCGCACTAGTTTCTTATTTAGAGAGTTGATAACTGTTCTGTTTACTTATGAACTCATGTTTGGGTGGACACAGAATTAGTTCAAATTTAAGTTGATGAAAAGAAACAAAACCAAACTTAAATTTCCGCCCTTTAGCGACAAATTAATGACAGCTTTGAAAACTATACTCAGTAAATCTATTTGAGGATCACCTGGTTAAAAGATAAGTTTTCGGTATTTCTTGTCAAGGCATATCAATATGAACGATTTTTTGCTCTATCAACTTTCAAGTTACCGTTTTATTAGTCCACAGTTGGAGTTTAAAGTACGTCAGCTAAGAGCGATCACTGTCTTAACCTACTGTCTTACGAGCATGTTAACAACTCATTTAGGAGTTTAGGAGGAGCTAAAACACACGGTTGTTGGTTAACAAAGCTGTAGCCATAGATTAATAAACAAAAAAGATAGATGTGTCACAATTTCTAAATAGCAGCAGATATACAAATTATACTGTATAGATGTGGTCCTCACGCCCTTTAGCAATAATCATCAGCAGGAACAGAATATCAGCTTTCAACCAAAACTTACCACTGGAAGTAGAACTAGAAGCCGAACCATCAATCTGCCACAAGATCGGAGCAGACATATCTGACGTCACGTCCACCCAGTAGGACCCATTTTGCCTCTGAATTCGGGAGACCAAGTACGTGTCTCTCGAGCGACCCTGAGACTTCTTAAACCTGTACCCGACCCCTCCTACCACACTCACAGTCTCTATACTCCAACATTCGTCTTTCCTCACAAGATAAGAAGATAAGAATGAAAGATCAACGTTGGGGGCGGCTCTGTGGACCATAGCTCTTGCGTCTCCATTAGATTGTTTGTCGCTGTGCACAACCAGCATCTTGCCACTACCAGGACCTTAAAAGGGAACTGTTAATACTTTAATATATCATTTCACCAAAACTGCTGTTTCCTTTTAGTATGATTTGAAGTTTTAGCTGCCATCGGATATTTGTTCAAATATATCATTAACAATGGAATTTGATATTTTAAAATACCAGATTTAGACTTGATGTTGTAGCAGTCTTGACCGTTGTGTTGTTTAAGAATGATCCCCCAACGAGCACTCTGATCATTGAGATCGGTATGTACCCAGCGGGAGTGAACATTTCTTTTATCATTTGCAGTCAGGGAGTAACCAGAGGCAGGCCCATCCAGCATCTTGATCTGGTACCCATGATTAGGAACTGGAGTGAAACCTGAACCTGTTGAAACTCGTGCCACCATTGCCACTATTATAGCTATTGCTATATTCATTTTAGCTTCTTTACTTTAGGCTACTGCAGATGCAATGTTAATAAATATCAGTTTTAATAGTCGCTGACCATTTCAATTAATATGACGTATTAGATTCATGAGATAAAGAGACTCCACATAACCTAAGCCTTAAGTAAATGCTTTGGTAATGAGTTGTTTGATACATGTTTCGTATCCCAAAGTGGCATGCAACGTATGTCAATGAGTTTTCAGTTAAACCCAACAATGAAAGTTGAAGCGTTTTGCACAGAAATTGTAGTAGAAAAATAAAAATTGTTAAGAGTCATTTTATAAAAAGGCAAAGAGTTAAGCATCTTTTGACAAATGGCCCGCACGACATCAGGTATAATAGTTTCTTAATTATAGCCGAATATTAAGAAAACTTACGGATAGGTATATCTTCCAAGTTGACGGAGCGATCTCGGCAACACGGATATTATAGTAAAATCAAATCAAATCAAATCAAAATATAATGACACAATTGTCATCACACATCATCAAAAATATATCTACTAAAGTTTAAAAATTATCTTAAATCTAATGGCCTAGACAACCAAGTTAAAATGAAACTAATTTACATACTTTCCACTACTATATAAGTTGATAAAGCGTTTTTTAGCAACATGAGGATTACACTTGTAGGTTTACAACCTACCAGGACGCACGCCGAGTTGGACTCAGATATTTTGGACTCAGATATTTTGGAACAGATATTTTACGAGTATCACCCGTTAAGAATTACACACAAGATATTCATTGTGCTTCTCTTTATTAGTAGCATAATTTAATCCCTCAATCTTTCCTAATACTTCGTCCGAAACATACCAAAATTGACTATCATTTACAGATCCGTTTAAAATAGTTTCTTTTTTGAAAGCCTCTAATCTTATTTTAAAACTTAACATAGTCCCACAATTTTTGACATCCGAGGGGAGTTTGTTCCAATATGGTCTCACCCTCTCCGGAAGAAAAGAACTCAGTTCTTTAAGAACTGTGGACTTTCTTCATTTTACTGCATCTACTGTTTGATACCACAGTAAGACCAGATCTGCTCATACTGAACAAACCAGCTCCGTAATTGGCCAAACCACTTATCATTTTAACTTTTTAAAAGATCCAATGAGGTCCCCACGTATTAGTGGAAGATGCGCGCAGTGCAATTGTAACATGTAAGGTATAAAGTAATACTAACTCCCGATCACGTGTAATTGTAAGGTATAACTATAAGTGTAAGGTCCGTGTAGGCCTTACACTGTGCTTTCAGCAATACTCATAAGGTAATATTAACTTCTGATCTTAAGATAGGCAGTGCGCCATCGACAGTAAGACGCGCGCGCTGACCATTGAATGGTTTTTTAGCTCTTATTTCGGCCAGCACATTATTTTGGAAACAATCGAAAAGTTATAATACTTCCCATATAAAAAGTGCTAAACGAGACAGACACGGGAGGGGTTACGCCCTTTTTTGTAATAACCTAACAGCCCTCAGCTTCTACCAGAAAGCCATCGAAACACAGAAAGATAACCTTCCTGACGACCACTTGGGATTCAAATGCTTCAAACCAGGAGAACGACCTCCCGGACACAAAATTATGGGCAAGATATACCTGGCCCATAGAAACCTTATTGACAAGATACATCTAGCCTTCGCAGCAGGATCATGTGGAGAAGTTAACCGCAAACAAGTATCGATTTTCAGACCTGGTAAGCTTTCTTCAGACAACTCCATGCTCCAAGTATACTTGGAATTAGACGAGAACGCCTTCAGTTGGCTTAGAACTCACAACTGGACCTCAAAGATCGGAGGGTCCACTGTTACGTGGAGAGCTCCAGGCATCCCTGGATTGACAGGTATCTACAGACCCGACGAAGACCATTATACTATCAAGGCTCAGATGATAGCCTCACTCAACAGTATCACGCCACAGACCAGAGACAAAAATGACCCGTGGGACTTAAAGAAGATCTCCCCAGCGGTGATCACCTCCTCTGAGTCTCCAGCGGAGCTGATGGCCGATCTGGACATCAGATCCGCTACAGATACAGAGGATAGACTGCTCAACACCAGCGGTGAAGACGCTGAGAACACCACCCTCACCGAGACTGAGATTAACCTGATCGAGTTGATTACTCCACTCAACACCCCAACAAAGGACAAAGGGGAAAAAACACCCACACCCTGGAGCAGCCCACACGATCATTCGCCTACAAGAAAGATTCAAAGGAGCCGTAACAACAGTTACGCTAAAGACTCTCCCTCCTCATCACCCGAGGACATAACTTCAGCTTAACGTTAACCTCAGTTTTACGTTTTCTCTTGAAATCTTCTTTACAAGACCTTGTTTCTCTCTTTCGATTTAAATATGACTGTCAACACTAATGTTTCAAATTCTAAACTCCCAGCCACACCTATCATTCAAGCTAACCTTCGCAAAATGACCACAGCTACAGCCAGCATACTCAAAGACCTCAAACCATCCACTATTCTCTTATTAACAGAACCATATGTCAGCAAAAAACAGCGCATACCTAACATCCCTAGCTCACACAAACCGTTCATCTCGTCCACCGGACGAGCTAGATCAGCGATCATTGTCCCTCAAGGACTTCATGCACTTAGCATGAGACTGGGACACTTCAGCTCACCTGATATTACCACAATCAGAATTACTCTTGACACAGAATCATTCATCATCTGCTCAGCATACCGATTACCGAGACATCACTCTTCCTATTAACAACCCGTTGTTATTAGACCTCATTACTCATTGTAACCTCAACAAAATCCCTCTAGTCATGGGTAGCGACACGAACGCCAGGAACACACTATGGGGAGATAGACTCACTAACTCCCGAGGCAGATCACTAGCGGACACTATTGCTGCCAACTCTCTTCATATCATCAACAAGGGATCAAATCCTACTAACCTTTCTAAATTAGGAAGCTCTATCATTGATCTCACGATTACCAATGACTACGGACTCCACCTCCTAGATGACTGGTCCAGCTCCTTTTGCTCGACAGTTTCTGACCACGCCAGATTATCCTACACCATTAATCTTGCCCCTCCGACTAAACTTCCCTACAGATCCCCCAAGGACTGGAAGCTTTTCAACGATCTAGTTACACAATCTATCTCTGACTCTCCTTTCAGATATTCTCCCACGTGCGACTTACCCCATCTCAATAAGCTTAACTCTTATATCTCTAACACACTCATCCAAGCCTTCAACATAGCCTGCCCGATCAAGTTCTTCTCCATCAGATCATCAGTACCATGGTGGAACCTTGAACTCACATCAAAGCGTAGGCTAGTCAGAATCATGCACCGGAAAGCCAGAAAACACAAAACAGATCACTTCTGGAACCTCTACAGAACCGGACTTAAAGACTACAAAAACAGACAAAAAATCAGGACAGCTAAAAGATCTAGCTGGAAAAACTACGTGAACAAAATCTCTAGCATACCCTCAGCAGCTAGACTCCATAAAGTCATGAAATCACTGAACACTAATCCCGGACAGCTAGGATCCCTTAAAAAACCGGACGGCAGCTTCACATCATCTCCAAGAGAAATCCTAAATACGCTAGCTGAAGCTCTCCTCCCCATTGACAACCCGATAGCTCACCCTCCTATTGATCCAGGCCCAGATCACGACAACATCATCAACTCCCTGATCACGCCTAACAGACTGAAGAAAGTCTGCATGGACATGGCTCCGAACAAATCTCCGGGACCAGACAACATTCGACTCAATATGATTAACGCATGCTGGGATTCTATCTCACCTTGTATTCTTCACCTTTATAAACACTCCCTTCGTTTGGGTATTACACCTGACGACTGGAATGAGACTAATGGTGTGGTTATCGCCAAACCTCTCAAAGACGACTATACAAATGTGCGAGCATTTCGTATCATCAGCCTTACTTCGACGTTACAGAAGATTATGGAAAAACTAATCATCTGGTACATTGAAGCCGACATTGGACTCTCCAACCTCACTACAGACAACCAACATGGATTCAAGAGAAACTTCTCTACCGACTCCGCCCTTCACAAGATTACCAACAAAATTGAATTTCCCCTCTCAGCTGGAAATCAAGCCCTAGGACTCTTTTTGGACATTGAAGGAGCCTTCGACAACATCTCTTATGACGCCATCTACCATAACCTCAACAACTCGGGAATTCCCACCACCTTATGCAACTGGATTTACTATATGGTTTCCCATAGAGTTATCACTCTCACCCTTAACGGTATCTCTATTTCTAGAACTATCAGCAGAGGCTGCCCTCAAGGAGGAGTACTCTCGCCATTTCTCTGGAACCTTACTCTTAACGACCTCCTCTCTAACCACAACCTAGACACATCATTCATTCAAGCTTTCGCAGACGACCTCTCCATCATAGTAGGAGGAATAGACATTCCCACCATCAGAGCCATTTGTCAAAGATACCTCATTATCATTGATAATTGGTGCACGACCATCGGCGTTAAACTTAGCTCTCTCAAGACCCAAGCTATCATGTTTACCAGGAAACGATTATGGACGCTTGATAAACCCCTATCTCTAAGAGGCATCAACATTCACCTTGTAAATGAGGTCAAGTACCTTGGTATTACCCTAGACTCCAAGCTCCTATGGAGACCCCACATTGATGCCACTTGCATTAAAGCTATCAGGAACCTGCACACCATCAGATCTACATGTAGCAAAAATGGGGACTTAAACCTTCCTACACACTTTGGATCTACGAACAAATCATCATCCCAGCTCTTTCTCATGGATCAGTGGTCTGGAGCCATATACTGGACTCCAGAAAATGGGCTACTAACATGCTCAACCACGTACAAAGAACAGCTCTACTCCTGATCACAGGAGCCATCTCCTCCTCACCGACCTGTTACTTAGAAGTCCTCACCCAACTCCCCCCTCTCGACCTCAGGATTCACTCCATTTCTCTTAAAACTTTCCTCAGGCTTAACATCACTTCGTCCGCCTCAAACGGACTTA